GCACCCCCCCGCCCCGGCGCGGGTCGCCCCCCCCGTCCTCCCCCAGCCACCCCATCGGCTCTGCCGCTGGCCCAGCAATGCAAGAGTGCTCCGGTCAAAGTAGGGGGGGGTCCTCCTGGGAGGCAGCGCTGCCCCCCAGCATGCAGGCAGTCAATCTCCTTTCCTGCAATAGGACCCATCATTCATCCCTGCCTTCCTCATCCTCACCTCGGGAAGCAATTCCCTTGCTAATAGCTCTGGCCACACACAGAGGAACACGGATGCCTTCTTCACCTGGTCAGCACCGGAGACTACTCTGTATGCGTCCTCAAGGCAGGATGAAGGTGTCTCCAGAGGGGAACGCTGCCCACTCTGCTCCTCGCTATTTTAGCGGTCGAGCGCGGGGCTCCCAGCTGAGGGTCAAGTGGCAACACAGTTCAGGGTGGTTCGTGGGGATCCTGCAAGGGTGCAGGTCCCACATCAGCCCACTTTCCAGCTGGGGATTTTCGTCCAGGAGGCGGAGACCCCACAAGAGCAGTGCCTCTGGTCTCCAGCTGCTGAGCCACAGTAGCACGTTCCCGTGGGGAGGAAACACCCACCCCTGATGGAAATGGGAGGGGGTCTCAGCCCTGAATTTGCAAAAGCCTCGTTGGTCCTTGTAGCTGCTGATCTTCACTGATCTTCAGCGTTTGTCTACTGCTGTTTGTCTACAGCAACTCCTCCGCTACCACCTCTCCCTACCAAAAGGCCACCCACAAGCTCTTCTAGCACCTCTGCAGGTTTCCTTCCTTTAGCTGGTTCTCCAACTCCACAGCTGGCTCGCTCTAGCTTCAGTGATCTGCTTCCACGGGAACGTAAGGGCTCACAGTACCTTGGGCAAGGGGCACCGACCCATTTCCCAGCCTGAGTCATTAACAGCATACTGAATGTTCTCACACTGCCTTCTGCTGTGAAAAAGAGATGGCTGCAGCAACAGCGGAGGATGCAGGCAAGAGCAAACAGCAACGCGAAGGAGCCATCTCCCAAATACAAGCCTTGCTCTGGGAATGCCAGAAAACCCCTGAACAGCGACCCGGGTGTAATCAAAGCCCTTCGACACACGAAGGTCCAAGTCTTTGAGCCACCCCCAACAGCTCCTCTGACTTGAACTTCACCTGTGAAGAACAGAACCGCTTACAGACTCTCCTTTGCACCATCCCGTTTTCTACGGGCAGCCAACGTTGCACAGTGCCTGGCACCAACGCGTTTCTTACACACCTGAAGTGATCTTTCGCCAGGTTTTCAGCAAGTGCCCCAACTCCTCCCGTGCACTGAGTCCCGGGGGTGCAACTCAGGCTCTCGGGGTCATCAGCTCAGCCCTGGAGGGTCTCAGAAACACTCAAGGTTCCCCACCCCCAGCTTTAATCTAGCGCACCCCAAACCTCACGCTCATCAAGCGGGGATGGGACAAACGTAATCACAATCATTGACATGTAGAAAGCTGCAGCCTCAGAAGGCAGGACAGAGTATTTTATTTCTCTCCATTTGGAGACTGGCTTAAAGTAACAAAGCAAAAGCTCTCGAGCCTTCCCTGCTGTCCGAGTCAGGTGGGAACACTGCGAACGTCACAGTCCAGTAACACTGGGCGGAGGCCTGAAACCCTCCTTGAACAAAGCCCCCTCGAGGTCTCTCTGGGAAGGGTCTGCCTGTTTAAGGGGCTGTTTCTGCCTCAACGCACACAGAAGCACCTTCTTGTAGATAAACCTCGGACTTTTTTTCCCCAGCTGCCAACCATCTGCCATGGCGAGGCGGCACCGGATGGCAGAGTCCCCTTTGCTCCCCTGCCCGACCCGGCAGCTACTCACCGCTGCCATTCCCTACCAGGGACACTTGCTCCTCCTCCTCGAATTGGAAGAGGAGATTGCAGTCTGGAGACCACATTGCTCACCCGTTCAGCTTGATTCACCTAAACGCGGGGGGTCACCCGTATACGGCTGGGCTCGGTTTGCTGCCTCGGCACCTGGTCCAGTCTCCCCTGGCTTCGTGAACGGCCTCACCGACGCTGCAGGCTGTACGAGGCAGATTAACGCCCTCCGCCGCCTCGCGTCTCAGCGAGATGAGCAGCACGCATCTCGCTCCGAGGACCGGAGGGGCAGTCTGATGCTCCCCAACCACCCCCCTGCTCTGGGAGTCTGCTTGCCCCAGCTCTAAGGTTATCTAAGGGCCTCAGCTATTTCTTCTACAGCCAGCAGCCTCTTCCTGACACGATATAAAGCAAAAGCATTAACAGTCTATTCTTTAGAGGGAAGTCAGAAGAAAACTCTGGAAAGTAAACAGCAGATTTGCTCATTCAGGAAAAAGCCTTCTCGGACTCGGATTCCTTCTGTTGTAACTTCCGAATCAGCTCCAGTAAATTCATCTGTAAAGTCAGCTCCTGCAAAGGAAGAGAGACGTTTTTGCAAGAATGAGATGATCCCATTCCCTGCCGCAGGAAGCAGAAAGGACTGCTTTGTACCACCCACTCAAGAGCTACTAATCTTCAGGGAACAAAAGAAAAAAACCCACGCAAATACAAAACAAAGCCTTCGTCTTGTTTAAGCATTTCTATAAAATACAGGGCAGTAACATCTGAAGAGATCTGCTGCAAACCGCAGCTGTCATAGGAATCCCAGGGCTTTACGATTCATTAAGGATCCAGAAAGGTTCTTTCTTCTTGACCGTGATTTAGTGACAAATGCAGTGAGGGCCAGCCAGTTCTGCAGGTTTCCCCCTCCGGAGCAGCCTCCAGGAGCGGGGCAGCAGCGTCCCCTTGCAGACCCACAGCCACACGCCCCGGGGGAGGTTCTCCGGGTGGGCAGAGCCCCCTTCCCCTCATCCTTCAGCGGCGTCTTCAACGCCCCGATCCTTTTCCAGCACAGAAGGGCAGGAAGCAGGAGGGATCGCTTTGGGTACTCTCTAAGCGGAGTCTAAGCCACGTGCGACACACTGCTGTGCTGGTGCATGAAATTCCCCTTAGGTATTTCACTCCCCTTCAAAAAATCCCTTTTCCATGACTGTAATTGAGTGGAGACCACCGTCTCCTGCAGTCACCAACATCAGCTTATGGTTTCCTTACCATCTGCTTGTTCTTTACCCACATTCAGCTCACAAGCCATTTTGCACAGAGACTACACGGTGGAGTAGCTAATTCAGCGAACCCTGTTCTGTGACTCAGGCTTGCAGACATTACAGTATGGAAATAAAAATCTATTTTTGTAAAAATATATCAACTGCATAAGCAGCCATTTTACACAACAGACTGGGAGGAAACACGTCAGCTGATGGGAAACGCACGGAGAACAGATTCCAGCAGCGATTTCTTACACGATGGTGGCACATTCACAGGTACAAGCTGGTCTGCTCTGCCAGCTATCGTAAAGGCAAACATAAACAAAACTCAGCAAATAGGAACCCTGTTAAGAGTTATTACTTACAAAAATAACATAAAAGGCAGGGGCAGGAGGGGAGAGAAAGAGCTGCTTTCATTATACAGATGAGGAATAGCAGCACAGGAAAAGTAAGAGGCTTGTTCAAGGCTGCACAGCCAGGAATCGTGTGGGTTTTAGAAAATGCCTGTTTAACTAACTTAGTTTAAGCCGTCTTTTCTCACTAGCAGGTCTTTATCAAAGTGAAATTTAATCAGCTACAAAAACAGAGTTAAGAACAGCCTGTTTCTGCATTCCCTGCAAACTTCTGTGGCATTACAATGAGACTTTGGAAGTTTTATTTTTTCATTCCTGCGGTGGCGTTAAGACAACAGAGAAAAACCCAGGCGACGGCTCGCGAGTTTTAAGAGCAGATGCACTGGCGAAACCGAGAACAATTTTCTAATCACAGTCCGAGATCGTCTCCAGCAAGTGACATGCAAGAATTAACAAGATGCCCAATAAAGAGACTTCCTGAAGGCAATCTGTACGGCTAAGCTAGGTACAAAAGCGATAAACCTACGCAGCCACTTATTTTAGTGTTATTCAGACCCATTCAAGAGTCACAGGGCTGCAGGCTGTTGGCACAGCGTTTCTTCCCTCCACACTGGGAAAAACATCGCAGAAAGCTGGGGACGTTGCCCTGTCTAATGGGCTTCTGCTCCTTCGTTACGAACCTGGTACGAGGTCGGCCCAGGGCACGCTGCCCATCAGCTGATGAGGCAAAGGTATTCTTCCTGACCCAGCGATGCAGAATTCATTAAGAGCAAGATTTTTTAAAAAATAAAGATACTACCACGAGAGTACTGTCAGATCTTACGCTCCCTGCCTAAACACCAACCTGTGGGTTGGTGGTGATGTAGAAGCCAGACACCCCAGCCTTCTCCAGAGTGCTCTGCTGGTCTATCACTTTTTGGTCCAGTTCCAAGACTATCTTCTCATCCATCATTCGCTGTTCCTCTCGAATTCGTTGCTCCACAGCCTGAAAAAGATAACAGTCGATGGAAAAAAAAGTGGAGTATCTGCCTTCCTCCTATCTTTTTCCTCATCTCTAAGTCTTTTACTGAAACCAAAGAGCGAGTAGATCCTGAAGCACTCCTGCTCTGATGAGTCCCAAGGACAGCAGAGGGCAGCAAGCGCAGCCCCAGATCTTACCTCCTCCACTTGCCACCTCTTAGAGCAAAGCTACCACTCCAGAAAACGCAGGGAGGTCACTGGGACCAGCCTGCTTTCTGTGTGTTTGGAGGCCAGGAAAGACCACGAGCAACGGATCGGTATCTGAACGTCTGTTCCTGATGAGCCAACGCCTGAGCAGCAGGCTGCGGCTGAGCACTCCGGCAGCACGGGCTCCACAGGAGTCAGCAGTCCAAGAACCACATACCCCTCACAGGCCTGGTGAGGCTGAAGAAAGACTTGGAGGAGTAACATAGGCCACCGAAGCGCATCAAGGTGCCAGCTGAGACGCCTCCCTGAGCCCCCGTGTTCCCTGGACACTAACACACAGAGCTAGAGCTGTAAATCACACCCAGATCCCATTTATTCACTAAAGGAGCCGAACTCCTCAGAAACCCAACTTTGCAACTGGAAAGCCAGTTTATTCTGCATTGACAACAGCAAGCTGAAGTCTCGCTTGGGACTACAGCGTGCTGGGGCTCCATTTTTGGCAGACCGAGAACGTTATCAAACGAGGACTTTGCAAAATAGCCCCAACCAGGAGAACACAGCCCCTCCTGCCTCACCGCCACCTGCCTAAACCTCAGCAGAGCAACCTCTGCATTGCCTCTGAAGAAGAAACGCAGCACAGCAACCACGTGCTACGTCAAAGGCACGTCGGAAGTCAGGAGCGGTGGGCATGCTCTAGGAGCACTCGCACGCTCTGCTAGCCGCAGGAAGGCGCACCGCTAGCCAGTCCTGGAGGAAACCTCAACCTACCAGAAACTCCGCCAGAAAGGGGAGAAGAGAACAGAAGGATCGCAGGGGACGAGGAGAGCCCAGCTCAAATAAAGAGCCACGTGTGTGCGGAGGCGAGGCGATACAACCTTACCGGGCTGCACTGAGCCACAGACTTCTTTTGCAAGCCACAGGGAAAGTCAGGAAGCATCAAATCCCATCTAATTACACAGGTAGGCTCCGTCTCTTGCAAGAAATAAATGGCACAAGTTTCAACATTTTACTCCTGCAACGCTGCCCCTTTGTAACACAGTAAACAGAGGCAGGCGTTTAGCTGGAAATATTCACGGGGGTAGGTTATCCTCACTGCACAGAAAGGGAGAAGTCACAAAGTCCGGCATTTCCTACACCAGTGGCTGGTGGTTTAAAAGACCTGGGCAGACGAATCCGAGAGGGGAGCCGAAAGCCCGTGCGCTGCTGCAAGTCCTGGGGAAAATCCAGAATTTGAATGACAGAGGTCTCGGTCCTGAACAGTCTGGAAAAGAGCTGAGGTATGTCTACAGCACGGACGTTATCAGTGGCTGTCTGCAAAAGGCCCGACCTAAACGAAGAGCAATTATTGCTTATGTGGAGCAGGAGATACCTCATGTAACCTCTCTTGGACGTCCGCAGTCAGTTAGCATCTTACGTTTTTAATTATGTCCATAGGTTTGGGAAAGCTCCACAGAACTACGCGCTACTAAGGAGGATGCAGGACTGTGATGCACCAGAAGATTACCATACATCAGCTGCTCCACAGAAAACACTTGGGGCAGGACCTTATTAGAATAAGTCTGAAGAAATTCAAGACAACCTAAGCCTCAATAAAAGGCGAGGTAGAGGGGCTAATTGCCTCCTTCACCATGGGATGCTAACGAACCCAAGAAAGCTCTGTCCTTACACGTTCCTCAGTCTAGAGGTTCACGCTCCTTGTGGAAGATACGAAGGATTAAAATCCCTCGTTCCCCAAAGACTTTAATTCCTCCCAGCCGCCTTGGGGGAAGGAGGAGGCACCACACCATCATCTCCTCCACTTACTGTGCTGAAGGAGTGACTTTCCTTGCGTTTAAAAAAAAACCAGATTTAAGTGCCTACATCCTGTTTAGGGGTGGCACCTGATTCGGGGCTACAGAAGAGTGCCAAGATCTTGGAGAAAAATAAGGCTTAAACACAAGCGTTTGCTTCAGCTCTGGTGGCTGGCGACCCTGTATGATGGGCAAAGCTTTTTCAAATGCTGTGGGTTCCACTAGGAAGCCAGACATGTAAAAACCACATCTTGTATTACCCCTCCTGGGAGCCCAATCCCAAGCTATCTCATGGGAGCTGGTCTTCAAAACCTTTAACCACAGAGGGCAGCTCCGATTAGACACGAACCAATTGTCACTGCGACGATCGATCTATTCCCGAAATGCTCTACAGCAGAAATATCAGAGCATAAAAACGGGAAGAAGCAACTCTGGCAGAGGAAAACAGAAGAGAAAGGCAGGGGGAAGGTGGAAGGAAGTAGGAAGAAATTGCACGTTGTGCAAGACAAGGAGAAATGACACATACATGGTCCACTTAGTGAGCGAAGACAACATTGGAAACGCTTTAAAACAGGCAGTATAGCTCATTACTTGCTGCAAGTGTAAGTTACTCAGAGAGAGAAGTAACAGGGACAGCTAACAGAGGTCCAGCCTGGCTTTAGTCACCTCGATAGAAAACGAGGGATGTGGAAACGCCAAAACAAAAGATCCAACAGCGAGCGCTGACGCGGTGCTCGTCATGGGCAAAGGTCAGGAAAGAGCCTCTATTTAAACAGTTATCTGTTTGCCTCACGCGGAGTAAAGTTACTTCCCCTCTACATTTAAACTCCACCGATTAAGATAACTAGCTACTTGCAGTTTCCTTTACCTTATAAAACTGTCTCTATCTTATGACTAATATACAGATAAGTCCTTTGGGACTGAATGGGCTGCTCGTGCTGAAGAGCCTTTCTCCAAATGCCTTGGGATGCTCGAAGAAACTATTTTATACTTACATATCTGAAGGCAGTTCCTCCTTATCAGTGCTACTAAGTAAAATGTGATTTTTTGAGTATTCTCTGCTTTCTACTTGCTACGATGTAACGGCAGATTTCACATACCTTCTCCGTGTTTTCTATCAACTTGCTCTCTATCCCTATACAGGCTTCAGCCCGTCTTATAACGAAGACTCGTTAAAGCGCTGTGGAGAGCATCGCTCTTTTGAAGTGGGCCCCTGAACTTTCAGGATTCCCAGATCACGCCTGGACCGCAGCTATCCCAGATGGCAAGGGCCTGGGCCCCCCGCTCTTGGGGGGGGGACATGAGGGCAGAGCAAGAGGAGGGGACCCCCAAGTCGGGGTGGGGAACCTGGGGCTGTGCTAGCAAGACCAGACAGGATGGCTGGTGGCTCCCAAGGCTGCGGGGCCGGGGACGACTAGTTAAACCCTCTGGAGATGCTGCGATGCTCCTGCGGCAAAGGGGCCGTGAGCCC